GCTGAGAGTTGATGTACTGGGATAATTTGATATGCTGACTACGAATTTGATAACCACTTAAAAGTTTATCAATTTATTTCATCAAGCGGCTTTTTCGCTTCTGACTACTAGAAATTGGTGAACAATGGCTTGGTAGCAGGCTGATTACGAGTATGACTCTCATAGACAATATCCACTATTTTCGTGGCTTTTTGGTCGTGACGTCAACAGTTAACAGATGTGTTAACATGCAAAACCGTACGGTGTTATTTTTTTCAGCCTAAGTTAAGAGAAAATTTTCTGCTGGAAATCTTAGAAACTAAACTGTGCTCCAATCAGAGAAAAAAACTGATTTGAAATAGAGAACTACTGAATACTCTGAAACAGCCGTAGCCGGTTATGCAAGCTAGCAGATACATAAAGAAAAAAGGGAGGGGGGATAAGAAGCAGCCGGCTGGCACCGCCGAGGTGGTTCCGTATCTGATTTGGATCAGCCTCCCGTCAGCAGGTGAATGCCTGGCCATCGCTGCATTCCGACAAAGGATTTTTCAGAATCATGAGGGATCAGATGGGAAGGAGGTAATCTCAGACATGAGAATTTAGTACAGATAATCAAAGTGAAACAACAGATGTTTCCAATCTGCATGACCAGTAAGCCACGGAAAAATTTTTCTATGCTTTTTTAAATTTCTTCCTTCAATGTTGTAGTTCTCGCAGTTCTCACCATTTCTTTTGCTAAATAAATAAAGCGATCCCAAAACCTATGAAGGTATACAATCTAGATTTTTAGGTGATGTCGATGGTCCATATGGAGCCAACAATGATTCCCAACTGTGATGGTCCAGCGACGAAATCTGGTTGCTATGAAATCGTAGGCAATCTCGTACCAGTAACTTATAGAAAGAGAATCAAATCAAACGATTCTCAGGTTGTAACTGACATGATGCGAGACTTCTGGCCATCCATCGATAAAAGAATGCCGAAAGATGAACCTGATTGCGGTTATCGCGGAGAACGTTGCGATTTCACTCTGCTTATTATTGGAGGAGCACTTATGATAACTGTGTTGATCACACTTTGTGGAGCATATGCTCTTCATAGAATTCTGTAAGTAGAACAATTTTCTTTACACGCTATTTCACTTCTCTAACCCCAAATTTTGGAATTTGTGTCAAACTTCGTACAAGGAATTTATTTGATATGCTGCCTACAAAGACCGCCATATTTACCCCAAATGCTATCGCCTTGTTGTGGAATAGAGTAGTTGCACGGTAACAGTGAAAGCACGAATATGCCTGAAATTTCTTAGTAGGATTTTTAACCTAATGTTGGTCAAAAACATCGCATCCAATTTGCATACTAGTGCCCTATAGGGTAGATACGGTAGGTATAGGTAGGTACGGCAAGAAGTCAAAACCATAAAGCCTAAAAATTGATAGTGGGTTATTTGACGTATTGACCAAAATCATATGCACTTTGCAAGCTGGCGCCTTATCATAGAAATACGGTAAGCTTATTGTAGAAGACCAAAAACACGGATTTGCCTGAAAAGCACCATGGTTACATGGTGTATTGATCATATGTAGGAAGGTCAAAAGAGTTTACAATGAGGCACTACGTACGAAACAAATATGATATTCAAGATCAGCACACTTTTTTCCTATCCCTCCCTTCTTCTTCACTCCATTGATACGGGAAATCCGAAGTT